TGAGATAGCTCATCAATATTTTCCTCCAGGTCTTTCAACTGTTGGCATTTGTCAACGCCTGTAGTTAAATAGGATTATTTGTTTCTGCGTGGTTCTCTAGGAGCTGGTCTGGGATCACAGCCCCAGTTCTTGCAGCCCAGTTCCTCACGTGAACCTTGAACAGATAGCACTGCAGTCATGGAGAGCTGGGAGGTCTCGTTAGGTGCCAAGACTGAGAGCCAACAGTCTAGTTCTGCTTCACTGGGGACCTACAGCTGCCTCCTCTGGTTTTACACCCATGAAATGGAGGCAAACATCATGCTGTCTCTCCACCAGGCAACAATGTACTCTTGGCAGCACCTTTATTTTTTCCTCTCAGCTTTTTCCTGTTGCATGCAAGGAGGTGGAGCAGCAGTTCTTAGAGAGCTGGCTACCACTGTGTGCTGCTCTGCATTTTTGATGGCTGAATCAAATTAAAAGACAGCTAAAAATACATAACACCCTTACCAGGATTGTTTGCCTGGATTAACATTTGCTGCAGTTGCCCGAGAACTGTTGTGTAACTCCAGAATGGTTGAAGACGATGGGTCCAGTCGCTCCAGCCTCCAGCATGGTGCATGGAAGTTGTGGTCTACGCCATGGAGAAGTTTGACACCCTGGTACAGAAACACCTTGCCTGTTTGGTTATGCAGAAATAGCCCACTGGGCTCAGCACAGATCAGAGAAAGGCAAGACCACCACTGCCTCCTTTGTGGTCAAACAGATTTCCACCTCCTTCAAGGATCAGCTGCTTCCACACAACAGAAACGAAAGCACATTGTCAAAGATATTCCCCAAACCGAAGTCATATTTCATAGCTGGCTTTTATTTCCCTAATCCTCCATCCCAGTGTATTTTGGTGAGTAAGAAGGGCTAGAGTGATTTCATTACATTTCTTACTGACACCCTCATGCCAGCTGAAACCCTCCCCTTTCCTGAAGCCTGGGAGCCACCGTGCTTGGGGCTCCCCACCTTCCCCGCATCAGGGACATGGAGCAGGGGGTTCTCCCCCAGAGCACCCCACCAGCACGGCCGCCCCACATTTATTTACAGCGCAAGCCCTTGTGTACTTCTCCCTTTTGAAAAGGGAAACACTGAGGAAAGGGGTTAGCCCATGGGTGCACCGAACATCGGCGCTGGAGCCTCTGAGCAGACTCTAAACTGAAGCTCTGCTTTCATGACTTGTGTTTGTATCCTCCACTGAAACCTAACTCGCCCCTGTTAGTCCCACCAGCTGCTTCCAATCTTCTAAACAGAAGGATTGCTCTGTGCTATAAACTTCAGCTTTCCAAACACAAGCATCATCTGTTAAGCCAAAAGCTTTAGATAGGATCCCCAAACACTAGCCTGGGAGTCCAACCAGCACAGGCCATATCTTTCCTGTGTCAACAGACACCTAATGTATTTTTAGTGCTGCCAGAAACAAACCACTTCTTGATATTCCAGAGGGGGGAGAAAAAAAAAAATCATCTAAAAGTAGTGGTGAAGCTAATATTTTAAAAGACCCTTTTAAGAACTCGCCAGCCTCCTGGGGGGAGCTTGTCAGCATCTCCCATGTTAAATGAAAGTCACTTTAACATCCACAGGGGTTTTAAAGAAAAGCTGGAACATATCAAAGCTGCTGGGATGGCAAGCTTCATAACATGCACAATACGTCAACACTTGCAGACAGTAAATCCTCCCCAGCCTCAAGGGAGCTAACAGCCCCCTGGAGTAAACTCTTTTTCCTAATGGATCTCTCAAATGAAGCGCTGATCTCCTCACTAAACTTTACAGCTCTCCTGCATGCTCTCAAACCCCCCTGCGCTTAAATCCTTCTATCTCTCTTGTTAAGTGACTTGTTAGATCATTTTTCCTTTAATATGAAGAAAGAAATCTTTCTTCCACCCCTGCACAACGACCTCACTGACCTGCCGGTGGCTTGCACAGGAGCAGCACCATGATGCTTCAGCCCCCCCAGGTTTTGGAGGCGTGCTGGGGAGGCGCCGATGCCCAGGGACACCGCATCCATGGCACGCAGGGGAGCGCTGCCCAGACTGGCTCTTCCCGTGGCAGTCAGCAGCCAGATGTGGTTTGGTGACCCCAAGCACCGCGGCTCCATCCCTCAGGAGCACTGCTGTTCACTACCAGTCATGGCTCTAGGGCTCCATAGCTTTCATATATATATATGTGTGTGTATATATATATATATATTCACAGGAGCAATCCTGGGCTCAACAAACTCCTGCGACCAGCGGGAGCTCCCATCCTGGTCCCTGCAAGCAGATGGCTCACTCCCAGTAGATCTGATGGCTTCTTGCACTCTGATCAGCTTAAATCTGTGATACAGCTTCTCACTGCTCTGAGGGACTGCAGAAAACTTTCCCCTTTGCTGGGGAGGGTTTGGCCCATGGTGTTGAATTCATGGTGGCAACAACTATTTGTCACTTCTGCTCCAGCCAATAGTTTCCCAGGGTTGCTGTGCAGCCTGGCTGCAAAAATTGATGTAAGACACCACCAAGACAGCTGTGGTCTTACACTGTCGAAGTCCTTACAATGGTTGGCAAAAGGGTAGTTTGGGGTAGAGGCAGAAATAGTCCCAACATCCAGCTAAGGACAAAGCAGTAGGTTTTGTTTCAGTTTTCAACGTTTCAAATGAAAAACATTTTCAAAGAACACCGAAATGCCAATCCTGCATCCTTCCTTGAAGCAGCTGCTTCTCCATTAGCTGCTCATGGCCGTATTTTTTGTTCACTGTTTGAAACCGTCTAATGAAAGAGTTTCACTGAGACATCGATTTGTTCCAATCTCAGCAGCAGCATTCCCAACTCTTGCACCAGCGCTGTGATGTGCCACCTGCCGAGCCGGTGCGAGCTCCGTCCAAGTCTGATGGCACCTGACAGCTCTGTAGAGACTCAACCCCCGAGTCGAGCTGTTGAGCCTTTGCTCAACACCTGGAACAGGAGGGGCCATTTGCAAAAGTCTGGACAGGGAAAGCAGCAGAAGAACTTTTGCAACATACCTTGTATACTTGGAATGCTGATGGCCGTGAGCTCTGCCAGAGCTGCCAGTCAAACAAGAGGTGCTGTTACTGCCACACTGGGGACTGTCATTCACAGTATTTTTCCAGTGCGAATATTTTTCATGCTGCTCCATGTTCTTCATCACTCCCTGCATTAGCAGTGAGAGGAACAAAACCATTTTCCTCTCTTCCTGTGCTACTTACACTGCTGCAGCATGAAGTGATTTGAAATTATTCACTCTCCAAGATTTCCTCTTAAAATGTCTAGAGAAGATGAGTAACAACAATTGCCCCAGGATGTGATGCTTGGCTACTTTGACTGATCACCCTGTGCCGTTTCACCCATCTATTACCTCAGCCGTTCCCCACTGGCTCCAGCACAACCTGCTCACCCTGCGTGAAAATTGAGCCATCCATTCTTGTTCAGAGAGGCAACACCCCTACGCCTCGCTGGACAGGCCCCGAAACGCTCCACTGAAGAGAGAAAAAGGCCCATCCCAAAACCACATCTCGGAGAAGGGCTCTAGGCTGAGCCTGGCACTGCACAACTGCAAAACGCCCCTGTGGTCACCTGGTGCAGAACCACATCCCACCCTGAGCACGGCTCTGGAACACAACTTCTTTCACAAATGTTTTCGGTACTGAAAGGAGCCCTGTTTTCCAACCAGAGCGTTTGCACTCTGAAATGCTGCTTCCAGCCAGCTCTGCTCCCTACAGCCATCCGCACCGCTCCTCGGTGCGCCCCCTTCCCAGCCACTTCACGGGGCTGGAAAAGCATAGCAAGGCCTGGCAGTGCAGGGAGCCAGCCCCCTCGGGAGGTATATCCGATATTTGAGCTTATAAAACCCACCAATTTCAGCTGCAAACAAACCACCTTGTAAAGCTGCGTTACCTGCCAGACCCACAAATCAGGGCCGTGCACAGGGGAAGCAGATTTACTACTGACAAGGCTCCACCCACCACGCTCAGCCCAGCAACATTTACCAGCGGCTGGAAATTAATAGGATTTTTAATTGCAGCTGTGTTTTTAACTCCTTGTGCCCAACCAGAAAAGCATGCAGGTGATGCTTCCCAGAGGAGGACATAGTTTTGGGGTGGGAGGGGAAGCAGACCAGCTGGGGATCATCAGGAGCAGGGCATTTGTGTTTCCCCACCACGTCTGGCAGCGCAGCGGCTGCTCTGCAAACACCGGGCCGAGCCGGGCCACCAAAACCCAGCCCGGCCAGACCTGGGGGTGGGTGGGGGGGTGGGTGGGGGGGTGCTGTGGGACACCCACCCCCACCCTGCTTGCCGGGGTCCCTCCACGCGCACCCTGCTGCACGCACGGCGCTTGCAGCCGTGGCGGCGTAGGTCAGCCCCTTCCTTTTTTTGGGGTTGAATCTACCAGACAGGCGGGGTGCGCGCACCCGAGCAGCACCCCAGGGAGCGCACCTACCTCATCGGACACCAAAACTTTTATCAGCTTTCGACAACAACAATCAGAGAGTAAGAGACGGCCAGGGGAGAAATCACCTCTGCCCCACACACCTTGCTAGCACCTGTGGGAAGGCACCTGCTGCCCTTAATGAGCTTACCAGCTACTAATTGCTTCCCGAGTCGGGCTGCGCATCACCAAACCCGTTTTCTCTTTGCGTACCTCTGCCGAAGGAGCGGAGAGCGGCACCGCTCCTCCCCGGGGGGGGGGGGGGGTGTAGGTTTGGGGGGGCAGGGGTCCTTCCATCAACCCCGCGCTGTTCCCGCTCCGCAGGAGGGGGGGGGGGGGTGTGTGTGCTCCGCCAGGGCCCCGCCCGCCCCCGCACGTGCCGCCACACCTGCGCCCCCCTGCCTCCCTCCAGCCAATGAGTGGGAGCGGGCTCTGCCCGGCGGCCAATAGAAGTGCGGCATCCGACCTCCCCCCCCCCTTCTCCCCTCCCCTTTTCTCCCCCCCCCCCCCCTTTATTTGAGGAGCGGCGCGCGGGCGCGCATCCACACCGCGGGCGCGGACGGGCGCGGAGCGCAGTTCCGCACCGCGCTCGGGGGGAGCGGGCCCTCCCGGCCGGCTGTACCCCCCCCCCCCGTTCCCCCCCCCCCCTCCGCCCATGGAGGCTTTCCCCGGCAGCAAGCTGGAGCAGCACCGGCACCTCCCGCCCGTGGAGTGCCTGCCGGGCGCCCGCTGCGGCGGCCGGAGTCACAGCGCCTGCGGGAACGTCTTCAACTCCTGGAACGACTACCTGGGGCTGGCCACGCTCATCACCAAGGCGGTGCGCCCCGGGAAGGGCTTCGGCGCCGAGCCCCCCTCGGTGGTGGTGGCGGCGGCCGAGGAGGAGGAGGAAGAGGAGGAGGAGGAGGAGGAAGAGGCGGCGGGGCCGTACTTCGAGGGCGCGCTGGACTTGCACGACCTGGACCTGTGCGGGCATCACCATCATCACCACCACCACCACCACAGCGAGGTGCTGGAGGAGCGCTTCGCCGACTTCAGCCCCTTCCCCGGGCGCGGCGGTCCCGCCGCCGTGGTCTTGGATTGCTCGGGGGAGCACCCGGGCCGGGAGGGCTCTCCCCACGCGTGGGGCGGCGTGGTGGTGGCGGGGCGGCTGCCCACCCACCCGCGGGCCGCCTCCCGCCTCCTCAAACCCGAGCTGCAGGTCTGCGTTTTCTGCCGGAACAACAAGGAGGCCGTGGCCCTCTACACCACCCACATCCTCAAGGGACCCGACGGCCGCGTCCTCTGCCCGGTGCTGCGGCGCTACACCTGCCCCCTCTGCGGCGCCAGCGGCGACAATGCCCACACCATCAAATACTGTCCCCTCTCCAAAATGCAGGCGGCCAAACAGCTCAAACACGCCCGGACCTCCCTGGGGAAGAAGGGCCGTTAGACGCCGGGACCCCGGGGGGGCGGCCCTGGCCTCCTCCAGGCTGGTTCCTTTGGGGTTTTCTTGTTTTGGTGTTTTTTTGTGTTGGTTTTTTTTTTTTTTTTTTTTTTGATTTGGGTTTAGGTGGTTGTTTTTTTGTTGTTTGTTTTTTTGTTTTGTTTTTTTTTTTTTTTTTTTTTTTTTTTGTCTTTAAAACGGATGGCGGTTTTGTTCTTTTCACACGTTAATCTATTAAAGGTGGAGACCGGCGAGCGGGAGCGCCGGGCCGGTGCCGTGCCGCCGATGGCGTCTGGCGCGCGCTGGCCCGCGCGGAGGCCGGCGCCGGGCCGCGGGAATTGCGCAGCTTAGATGCACTGTATTTGTTTATTGTAAGAAAGAAAAAAAAAAAATATATATATATATACACATGTGATTTTTACGGAAACGGATTTACGGAGAGATCTAACTGGGAGGGGTTAAAGCAAAGAAGGCGGGGGGGGGGGCGGTGTCCGTGCCGTCGGGGGGCCCGGCTGGACTGGTGCTGCACCGGGGGGGCCGGGCGGGAGAGCTGGCTTCTTGCCTGTGAATAGCAGGGTGTTTAATTAGGGTACAACACTCCAGGTTTGGGGTGGGAAGTAAACATCTGAGCAGTTTTTCTTGGCTGATCTTAAAACCGGGAGGGAAGCGTAAGCGTCATCAAACCTGTTACTCGGTCGGTAATTAACGCCTTCGCCCCGAAATGGCAGCATCCTACCTGGCACGGGGGGGGAGCTGTGCTGTGCCCCACCATCGCCCTTCAGCTGTTCCACAGCGTGGACAGCGCTGGTGCCCCCCCGTGTCTGACAGGCGGCTCTAGGGAAGGTCTGAGAGGAGAAAGTGCACGTTAGAAAATGTAATGACTCTGGGTGAAGGTGCAAACCGAGCCCTTTCTGCTGAAGGAGAGGCAGATGGCAGAGAATAAGATTTGATGCAGCTGATGTTTGTGGTGGAGAGTGGGGAGGAGATGGGAATCCTCTGGGGAGGAGACACCTGGAAAAAGCAGAAAGTCATGACCGTGGAATGGTGGAAGGAGAGAGGTGACACATTTTCAAGAGTTGAGAGAATGTGGCTTTAACTCATTTCAAGGTGGGAGGGATCTACCCGTGTGGTTAACAACTAATCCTTAACGTTAGCTAGACCATACAAAGTGTATGGTTGATGCTGAAGATCTACACCCAAGGTGGTGGCAGTTCCTTGATACCAAGTATCAGACAGGGCTATGTTGCTTCTAATCTTAGAGAGATCAGAAATGGCTTTTATCGTGGCTCGGAGGCGGGGCAAGGAGCAGCAGCAGGTTTGTTGTTTGCTTAGGAGTCCTCTGGAGCCGAAAGGCGGGTGCCCAAGCTCGCAGTGCTGAGAGGGTTATGCTGTACGTGGCTTCACCAAAGCCTTGGACCGGGAGGGGGGCTCGGTCTGTGAGGGTGGCCCTGCCAAAAGCGATGGAGCCTTGTGCAGAACTGCTGGGGCATCGCCAGGAGGATGAGAAAGGAGATTGGGTCCTGACGGAAAAAGGGAGCTGGGAAAGCAAGGGGTGATGTGAGCTTGCGGGGATTCCTTTTGACAAACCGCTTGACAGAGCGGGAGGTGGGGGCAGGAGAGGGGGGAGAGCAGGGCAGTTGAGAATGAGGCCAAAACATGTGCAGGGTGGACTGGGGAGGAGGGCCCAGGGTTTGTTATTCATTGCTGCTGTTGACTCACAGCTGCAGCAATTAGGGGGGAGAAATTGATTTTACGCGGAAGTGTTCCCTCACATCTTCCTCAGATGGCTCCAGAGATGGTGTCAAGTCTGATTACCAAATGCAGTGGGGCTTGTGTTAAATATCACTTGGTAGTGGCTGCAGCTAGCCTGGCGGCAGCTACCCTCTCCCTGTGCTATGTATCAGTTGCATGTTGTCTCTCGGTCTGTGGGGAGCGCACCTTGGGCTCTCCTAAGCTGTTAGATGTGTTTGGTTCTGTGATACCTGGTCCACACAGGCTTAACCTGTAACCACTTCACATTAGAACCAAGCTCAAGTGTGATCCTATGGGAAGAGTTTTCTTCTGTACATTTGTTACCTCCTTGTGGGAAGTTTGAAGATCAGTATATACATTTTAATGCACATTGAGTGTTACTGGACACAAAAGCGAGAAAGATTTAAGAAAATTTGTCTCTGGTCTTTTCTGTGAGGGGTTCCTGTGGCAGGGCTGGATCTGAGGTGCTGCTGGCAGTGTTTGCGATGTGCCCACCTCTTCTCTCTCCAGTTTGTACATTAAGCTACTGTGTAGCAGCAACCCTATTGCAACGCCTGGAAATTGCTCAAGACACCAGAAGATCCCCCCTGGCCTTTTGCAGTGCCTGCTTCTTCCCTCTGGCCATGAAAGAGGAAAACTGTTGCGTGGAGGGCCTCGGCGGCTGCCTGTGGCTCCTGGACCTTCCCCCGTCCTGCACGCGTACTTTCAGCCTTGTCGTAGCCACACGGCATTAGGCATCTGGTCGGTGTTAACAGGTAAGGCGGCGCAGTAACAGCTTCAAAAGACCAGCTGGGGGGCGGCGGGGAACAAAACCAACCAACAAACTATTCCAGAGGGGAGATGACAAGATTCAGAATCGGCAAAAGGCATCCTGAGAGCCAGGCTCTTCAGTTGCTTTACATGATCATTCAACAGGACAATTTGCCCTTTAAAGTTTTATAAGTCAGTGCCTGACAAAGACTGAACCATTAAGGCCATTCTAGTTTTTTTCAAGTAAGCTGCTGTGATTTCTTGTGCACCAGCACACTCCTTGTGGCACAGAGTAAGCTGAAGCGTGCTTGTACTTGGTCGCTCTGAAAAGCCTATTACAAGAGACAGTGCTTATAGTGTTACTTTGATTCCTTAAATACTGGAAACTGTTTACATTAGTAATTTAAATCCTAGGATCAGCAAATAGCTTAATGAGAAAGCAGCACAGGTTGGAGCTGCTCCACATAAGAGGTTTAAGAAAAGTCAGATACTATTTTCATTTATTCTACAGGCATCTGCAAATCAGAATATTATGGCCACTTGTTTAAACCAAATGCATTATCTTCAGAGAATCACTTTATTACAGGGAAATATTCCGAAGCATGTAAGTGATGGAATCTTTTCTGTGGTGATATTCTGGTGAGAGGAATGAACACAATATTGCATAGCCTATAAGAATCCTTGGTTGATACTAGTCTTGGCAAAAAACAAGCTACTTCTAATTAAAAACTACTTTCAGATGCATCTAACTCAGCTGAGCTGAAGTCAGGTGAGTCTGTACCCATCTTTAGTGGAAATCCTATTTGGACAGAGTTTGCTCTCAATCTGCTGGCCAGAGTGCCTCGGGTAGCTGCTTTGCCATAGGGCTAAACTGGGATGGCTAGAAAATGTCTTTCCTTCCCATAGGTGTGCCAGTTTGACCCACCAAGTATATAGGTTAATATATACTGGAGATAATTTGCTAATGGTCACAAGGGGAGGAAGATAATTCTAAGATGCCTGTTGTCTGGGCAAAACGGAAAGTGATTATGTTAAATATGGAAAAAGGTGTCGCAAAGCCAGTAGATTGTCCTCCTGCCCAAGAGTGAAAGGACTAAAAAAAAGCTTAAATTGCAGCAAGGGAGATTTGGATTAGCAAAAAGCAGTGGAATAGCTTGTAGAATCTCCATACTACCATAATTAAATGCATTAATAATTCTCTTTAAGACGAGGACCAGACGAAGTGTAGAGCATTTCAGTTCTAGCTGGTCCTGCTGTGGCAAATTGGAAAGAACTGTGTGTTGGTGTTATGCCACTCACATGCCTACTTCCTGCAAGTCTGCAGTAAACCACACAGGGTGGGTGCCTGAATAACAGGTAAATTTTGAATCTTGCATTTCACTGACCTAACAGACGCCTTCACTTTGTAGGCTTATACAACTTAAGGGTACCTTTTAGTTACAGAAGGAAAACTTGTTCCTCTCAGAGACAGCAGCCCATGGATATTAAAACAACAAAGATGCACTTTGTTTACAGCAAAACAAGAGTTCCAGGGCTGCTCCTGTTGGTGCTGGCCTCCTGGCTGGCCAGCAGCCTGCCCGCACCGTGGCTCCCCAGCGAGCTCCTGACCCTGCTCACCACCAGGGTCATGACGTGTCCCGAGATGCCGTTGTGGCTGTGCCCAGCCTGGAGTGGCACCACTTCATTCCTTGTCCCTGCCCTGGTCCGCCAGTTCTCCAAAAATACCCATTGGATTTTATTTTTTAGAACAAAGGCACCCTAGAGAAAACATAATTAAAATGCCTATACCCTACATCTGCTGAGCACCCTGACAGTCCTCAGCCCTGCCTGCCTGCTGGGGGTCAGTCTCCGGGCTGCTCCTGGAGTAGGAAAGAAGCTGAACTGTTCATACCTCATCACCTGCCTTGCTCTGCTCTTGGAGATTTGTTTTAATCGATCAACGATTGCATCCAAAGCAACAGCCTTAAGTTCTGCCTTCTAAATATAGCATGTGACAGTCTGTGTTCTTCTAAGGTTCACTGAAAATTTTAATGTTTAACTGAACACGAATCAAACACAGTGATGCTTGACAAAGAATTCATTTTTCATCGATGTTTTCAGGTAACCAAACTTTGTGCTGATGTATAATTATGGCAGTAGATGGAGGTTTTTGCTGTTAGCTTTGGTCAGCACTGGGTTTTGGTCACTGTAGTTAGTATTCTGTCTAAAATGATCAAGTAGTAAAATAAAGACGCTGGCATGTCTGTAAAGCTCATATCTTGCAGGTCTTTTCTCAAGCTGCCCAGTCCTGAGAACTTTACACGTGTTGGCAAGAATATCACAACCGTAAATAACAGAATTTAAGAACACGGCTTTGGAAACAGAGCTTTAGCAGGTGCAATGATCACTGACATTTATTCCTGTGTAAAAATGGCTTTGCTTGGATAAAATTAAAAACATGTAACTGGAGGTATAATCACTCTTTACATCTCCCTGATGACTGGCAAAAGGCCAGTGTTACACCCGTCTTCAGAAAAGACCAGAAGAACTGAGAAACTACAGGCCAGTTGGTATCGCTTCAGTCCCTGGGAAGATCATGAAGGAATTAATTTCAGAGCATGTTTTTGAGCACATGCAGGAG